TTGTATGATACATCACGCTCAGGGAACATTAGAGTTAATCTCACACAACTACTGACACTCGTGAATAATGAATTGATGAACAAATTGATCGCTTTGTGATATGTTCCGTATCGAGCACTAGACCATTTGTATTATTGCTAGTTGTTACATTATTTACGTGTACATCGCCATTACACTCAACTTGTTCAAGAATTCTATATTAATACGTCGCTACACCAGTTTCATGTTTCCCTGCACGAAATATCATAAACTGATCCCTTGACGAAGGTTACGTAATGTTCATGAATGTACATACTTAGGTAGACACATGAGTTACTGCGCTACTATAAAATTATTTATGTTTCGAAGAACCACCACAGACACAGTACATTCCGTTCCAGGACAAAAGAGTACATGGTGAACTAATTTTATCAGTTTGAAACTCTGAAGATGTTGTAAGGAACTAAACACATGAATAGAAAATGTGTTTGACGTAAAGTTTACAGAGGAGCACTGATATAAATAGTTGGCTATGCCGAGAAGCTACCAGGGCCGGCGAGTGACCCGCCGACGTGGGGAGGACTTGCAAACTAAAGTTGCTGGGAGCCAGGCGCGGGGCCACGCAGCCAGCTACTTGCCTTGGAGACAAACTCGAGCGAGTAAACACGGCAACACATAGCGCGAGGTGTGCGGGCGAGCAGTGAGTCAGTGCATGTTGCAGATATTTGATCGGTGCGACTCCAGTCTGCGTGTTATTTCGTGGTATTTCGTAGTCGACCTATTTTTGTTCCATTTATTTCAGTACCCAACTAGACCTACATTTCATCGACATACAAAAAGCACATTTTTCAGTTTAACCTTGATGTACCTAGCTAGCTCAGACATTTGTTTCATACAAAGATTACGTGAGATCAACAAACATACGGATGATTTCAGGTGAGTACGATCGCAACACGTAGCGTGTGTTAACGAGTGCACTGTGCAGTGTATGCGCTTAAAGTGGTAGGGCTTAAACCATATAGAGACGACATCAACAGTCCTTGTATAGTTTGGACATAGTTACTGATGTGGTTCTGCTTAAATAAAAAAGTTTTGATTCTTTTTAACCGACTTCAAAAAAGGAGGAGGTTATACGTTCGGCCGGTATGTTGCTTTTTTTTTGTATGTATGTACGCGCATAACTCTGAGATGCGTGAAGCGATTTGCAAAATTTTGGTTTTGTTGGAAAGGGTATACTCCCGAGATGGTCCCATTTCCATGAGGTCAGGATTTGATGATGGGATTCTAGGGAAACCGAGGGGAACTTTCGAAAATTATATGGGCGAGTGATGCGTCTATTATGTTTTTCAATTAGGATTTTTAAACACTACAATTTGATAAGGGTCTGGAGTCGACCTGATGATGGAGCCGATAGACAGTCGAGGGAACTCCTCAGCGGTTTATACTAACTACCTTGTGTTTGGGCGTGATTAATTTGTATTGATGAGGACTTTACACCTAGATAGAGTAGGGCTGCCATTAAGGGTCTGATGATGAAGAAGTGTAATTGTTAAGGGAACTCCTCAACGGTATACTGTAACTACCTTGTGTTTAAGCTTGTATAATTTGTATTGATTAGAACTTTGCACCTATGTAGATTATAAGTAACAAATCGGGTATATGTAGCTTTACACTGAAAATGATAAAATAATAAAATAAAAACTGCGTTTAAAAAACCGACTTCAAAAAACCAAAAACTAATAACAAACAAAAAGTCTAAACTAAAAAGCAAAAAATAACTATTATTAGTAATAATAGGTTACCCACCCACTGATAGGTTAGAAGTCGGTGCCATAAGCTCATATCATAATGATATAACTGTCCACAAAATTGTGAATTAGGTACCTATTAAGGTTTTAATGAATAATTTTGTATGGAACTTATGGCACCGACTTCTTATCTATCAGTGGGTGGGTAACCTATTAGTTCTAATAATAGTTATTTTTTGCTTTTTAGTTTAGACTTTTGGTTTGTTATTAGTTTTTTGGTTTTTTGAAGTCGGTTTTTTATAGTTTAAATGGATAAAGACAAGACTATAGCTCTGTATGTATCGTTGATATCTAAATATTCAGTAGGTTCAGTATCGTTGCACGTACGTTCCATTATTCCGATGGTCGCTAGTAGTGAGCAAACAACTCAATCTGTTCTTTGTGGCGAAGCCGTGAATGTTGTCATAAATCCATCATGGCGGCCCACTAACGCTGCGCACGAGTGATGTCGCGCGCGATTTATGTCTGTTGAAGACTTACGTGCACCAAGGCTGTTCGAACCAGCGATGCGATATCTTACAGTTGTAGTCGTGCGCTGAAAGCTTTCTAAAAATTACGTCGGTTCCAGCTAACATGTTGCCAATTGACAAAGTCGTGTTCCAAATATGTTCATCAATCATCGAATACTATCCTAAAAGTTGAAGTTCGACGCTTTTCTAAATACGAACTTAATTTCCGTAACATTTCAGCGCTGAAGCTGAAACTTCCGATAGAATACATGAGCGGCGCGCTGCAGTCGCTGCGACGCAATCAACACACTGTTTACTAGGTAAAGGATGCCAGGTGTAGACTGATTGTTGTGGTATATTAAATAATGTATTGAGACTATTTAGTGGACATTAATATTAATGTTATTTACAAAGTACAGAGCATTCAATTCCTTTAGATTCACTTACTCACTTGTGCCTTTAGCCAAACACCACTTTAGCGCTTGTCTACAGAGAGAGTACAAAACTAAATGTATGGGGATGACACTGACAAGTGTCAAAATTTACGTCAATTCCATAATATATAATTTAGTTTTTTATTCTACAAGTAGACAAGCGCTAAATGGCATTTGGCTACAGCTGCTGATTACGTACAACTGGTAGATTTCTATCCAATAGCAAAAATACCAATATAATAATATTTCTATAAAGACTTGCACAAATTGCTTTACAGTAGTACCCATTGAATATTATTGACATACAAGCTGTGCGCTCTTTGCTTTGTCTGAACTCGTGTCGGCTGATAGTAGCACCTCGTTAGATTGTACAGCACAGCGCCACGGGTACACATGGAGTGCAGCAAACAAAACATCAATAAACAAGTTTCTCATTATGTTTGAACTGTCACAGGTTGTGCCAGTCGGGAACAATAGTCATTCCCGGAAAATAACTGTCAAACAAAAAATCTCGCGCAACTTTTGTAAACATGAAAAACCTTTTGCGAGAAAATGTCCAAAGTCATTCATGTCATACACAGTCTGCTTTGTATTCAACGCGGAAATGAAAATTTAACTTTCTAACATTTGCAGGTAAACAATTGTTTGAAATTAAAAGGTAGCTGCAACTGCAGCAGTTTGTTGATCAAATAATCAAGTGTTCCGGAACTCATTCCTTATGTACAGCCTCGCCTCCGCCAGTCACTGCTGCGACCTTTCCAACTAGTTTATTTATTTAATATGCAAGCTTGGTATTTCAGATTTGTTTTGCTATTAGGTATTTGCTAGACCATTAACTGTCAATATTTACTAAGCACTGCACAAGGCCGTGCTAGTAGCTAGTGTATCAGCCTCAGCAGTACAATGAACAACAATGAGCACGGTTCCCGCGGCCGGCGCCCGGCGCCCGCAGCAGAGGGTGGCCGACCGTCACTTGTCTTCCGCCGGACAAGTCATTTGTCTCCTGTGATCCTCAGAGGCGTGATGATTAATGAGCCCGGGCTTCGAAGACGAAACGCGAATATTAAAACGATATCAAAAACGTCGACAAGAAAAATAATGGAGCTATTAGGAATCTGTCAGATTAAATAATACACGCGTGGTACGTGAGAGGCAGGGCTAGTCAGTAGTCAGGTCGGCGCGTATATTGTAAAACTTTGGCAAATTGTCCGTATCTACATAATGTTAGGCCCGATGGAAATCCTAGTTAATGAAAAATGTTGGTCCTTCAGGTGAAGCAAAGTTAAAATCTGAACATTAAAACTTTTAACAGTCTTTATAGTAAGTAGCTCCTTCACCCGTGACACGGGGTTAAGCTCACATTTGAAACAAAGTACGAGTACGTAATGTATTCATGGCTCGGGCCGCACTTCAATGACTAGAAGTTGTCCAAACAAATCAACATTGTCCGAGGCTGCGTTGTACCAAGGTACGGGAGGTAATGCTAATGAATTTCAATGTTTCCTTTTTGGTTTCAGCGGTTATTGTGTTTCCGTCACATTTTAACAATAAGTTGAGCAGCGGACGTATGACGGGCTTTCTTTTCTCTGAAGAGCGACTCCTTTGTTACAGTTTGAGGCTGAAATAATGTTTACCTATAGCAAAATGAATCGATTGTCTACTGACTATGAAGCACGGTGCGGCAGGCTGGACACGTCACGTCACCGTCAAACTTTTAAAGACTACAACAATATTTTTCCGATACTTAGAATGTTTGAAAATAAAAGTGTATCGTACAGGAATACCATCGCTATCTGTTTATAAATACTTGTTGCGCAAAACTGTGCGTTATTTATGAGTAGTTTAGGTTCGCAACATCATTTTTGTATAATAATTCACAACAATAAATCGTAGTTGAATGGATTTCACAATTTATTGATTGAAATATATTATCATTGATGCGATATGTGCTGATCTATACAACTATTTATTAGTGTTAGTATATTTATGATTTCACGATGAGTTTACTCAAAATCAGCCTAAGAACCAGGAAATTAAGTCGACTAACTGTAACAATGTACCAAATGCATTACTCGTAAAGGATTTATTTGGTGATCACGTAACTAACCATTGAGGAAGCTATACATTACTGTACATTGTACTTTCGCCTGTGATACAAGGCTTCCCTTATTAAGATTATATTTTGTATTTTGCTCATTTTATCATCAATAAAGATTATTATTGTTAACTTGGTTGAAGGAGACCCAACCTGTGCCCATCAATCCAGGTTCTAACATGGTCACGTGTCCATCTTCATCCTAATTTAAATATCAATAGAGTGGTGGACTTACCTTCAGTGAGCAGAGGCTGTACGTCGGCATCAGGTCTCCCAGCGGGGCAGAGAGGCAGCGCTGGCGACGAGGACGCAGCGCCGCCTTCTGCTTCCACCTGCATAAACAAACACAGGCTTCAGAAATAATTAGAACTTGGCATATTATACGTAAATGTGACACTCAATACTGGCATGTTATAGAGGCTAGGAATTTAAGTACCATAAAGGAAAATTTCAATAACACATTTCCCGACCTTGGAAATTGAACTCGAAACCTTTTGGACGTATTTGAAACTACTTTTCCAATAACTTAGGCACGTTTACACAATTAAGTAACTATCAAAATTGTAACAGAACATACCGAACAGGACAAGTAAGAGCACCCTGTGTACCGCACCACCCCTCCAGAGACCGTACTGTATATTATCGTGCAATGAAAGTAATAGGTAAGTTTTTACCACCACTTAGCTAAGGCTTGGTTAGGATTGGTGTCATCCTCAAGTTACGACAGGTATCAGCAGTGCAATATCACATTGTACAAGCCTTAAGTGTGGGAGAGCCATGTTTCGGCACGAATGGGCCGCCTCGATCGGAATGATACCACGGCCCCACAGGAAACCGACGTGAAACAACGCTACCGGAGGCCCAATGTGCCCCCCCCCCCCGCTTCCAATATCCCTGAATTCCCGACATCCCTTAAAGTCCAGTGACGCCCTTGTAACGCCTCTAGTGTTCGCCATCATCAAGTGATCCGTCTGCTCGTTTACCGGCTTATCCCATAAAAAACCCTACTCATATTGGACACAATAATTCGTAAATTGTTACAAAACGAAGAAGAACACATCAATTTAATATGAACGTGGCTTGTAAGGAGCTCCAGCGGGAAGCAGCATTAATGATTATATTCGTATGAAAAGGTTTGTTTACATCTCAAAGTAAATTTCGTTTTCCAATGTAGAAAAACGTAGTCTAATCTGTTCGTAATCGGCATTAGGAACAAGAATCCGTAGCAACCGCAACAACACGAAGTTGCTGAGCCGCGCTCGTCTCCTCGTCTCCGCTCGATAATCAAAACAGTTGAGAAAGGATCGACTTCGAGAGATGGAGTAAATACCCGGGGTATTTACTCCATTTCAAAAATAAAACAGAATTAGTTTTCCTTCTTATTTCGGCGTTATACTCCGCCCTACCTGTGCAGCCCCGGTGAGACACAATTTAACTTTTCCGCGGCGTACTGACGTGACGTGGGGGACGGACACTTTCAAATATTACCGCCGCTGTATTCATTGCATTATATTATATTTTGTAAACTTATTACAATATCTGATCCACTACTGAGTCTGGTTTGATTGGGTTATTCATATTACAGAACATATTACTCGTTTTACTTTCGCAATTTAATGTTTAGAATTTTGGTGTTTACCTGAATATCATTTAATTTGTACCATTCGCCGGGCTCCCCGGATGATGTACTCCGCGGCATATGGTCACGGACAATGCGTGTACCACCAGGTCCATAGCCTACAGAGCACCACCGTCGACCAGAGTGCACCTACCATGGGAGCGCGGTCGTGAGCCACATGAACACCCACACCCATACAACATAGTATACACATTGAACTTGCACACCTAACAGCACCAATGCCACTATCTCAAACAGCACTACACCCGCGTCTCTGACGGATAGCTCATTTTTACGCACTAGAACATTATCACCGCACAAAATAATGTTGAATATGATTACTTCTACTATACACCCGAACAACACAATTAGTTAGAGATGTCAAGGGGACAACATCGACTGCTGATGTCACCGTGACGCTGTCAGCACACAGCACGGACTGATGTCGAGGAGGTCCAATGTATAACTAATGGCATTAGTACTTTATTTTGCCTGGTAGCAACTCTGAATATCTCACGCCTTACCTTACAGTAGGCGTATCAGCTTACACCAGCTTACACGGTATGTTTTGTTACTTCTCAAATTCTTACGATACTACAAAACTTATTTTTATTGTGTTTAGTTTGTTCTATTTTGCTGGGAAGTCTTACTCTGCAATTCATTGGCAAATGAATTCTTGCACATATGCATAGTAAAATTGCGCCTAGGTCTACGTATTTAGGGAGTATAGTCAAGTATCAGGCATACAGATCTACTGACTAACTTTATTCGCCCTAATATCTAGAAGAGGTTCCTAACTATCAATCTGTCTATATCAAAAATAACGTAGGGTAAGAGATACAATGCAACAAGGGCGTCTTCTACAACGTCTCGCATCATTACGTGGAGTCAAACAATTCATTACGGTTATGATTGACGCGGCTATACGTCATACGTCACAATTTTATCAACAGACGGACAGTATCAGTAGTGCAGTGTTCATATATGTATCTGGCGAAAGTTTTATAAAAGCATGAATTTTATCTTTCATATCCCATCGACGCCAACTATTTAACAGGATAATCATGTCATTGTAATCGAGTTGATAACTTGGTATCAAGGCTGCCCTACAAACCTGCATGCATGGGTAGTTAACAAATTAGGAGTCGAGGAACCATCAAAATTAATATGTCGTGGTTTTATAGAAAAATCTACGTAACGTTGATTTCGAGGAGAAGTCAGTAAGAACAAGTTGCCGGCCTGCAGTTTAAATCATAATAGAAAATACTCCCTGGCTGGCAACTGTCATTTGCTGCACAACTTTGAACGTTTTCTTACTTTAGTTGAAGCCAATGCCTTGTACTAAATGGACTTTGCAAGTACAATCTCACTAGGTAGCAGGAGACAAACTCATTTTACTAAGTCGATTACATTGAACACTGTCGTCTGAGTCTGTCGTGTGACACACTGATCATTCGTTTTGTAGGTATAACACGAATAATTGATAGGCGCTCGACACGGCAGCCATATTGCTATAGGACACCGTGCTACACTTTATAAATAGCTCCCACGAGCAAGCAATGAGGTGAGCTTATAAGACAGTCCTCAGCAGTTTAACGAACTTTATTAGCTTGAGAGGGCCAGCTTGTTACACTCGCCAGCGCCAGCCGCCGCGCCCTCCTACTGTAGGGTACGTGAGCTCAGAATTTACACCACTCGGACAGTTATTACCTAAGCCTTTATGTAACGAGGTACTCCCCTCGCACCTCATCCAGTACGCTGTTTATTCTAAATTTACAAAATGGTAAAACAACTGTCTTTCAATTTGGACCACGTTATTCGTTGCAAAAGCTGTCGAAAATGTTGATTTTAAAATTATGAATAAATAAAAACTCGTTAGTGCTTAGTAGAAGTTCCTTTTCAAGTTGATTTCATGGAATGCAGCATGTGCAATGATTCAGTATCATATTCCATGATGTTCACTGTGTAAGTGTGTATGTGTGTACGTGTGTACCCACTCAATAATGATAGTATATGTGTTTCTGCCCCGGGCTAAGTTCGCAGCGTAATAGGTTTCTTATGCAAGCTATTGATATAGTTTCAGGAAGCTATCAATGCTAACATTGACTTGCTACAAGTTTCGATATTACTGCAAGTATTAGGTAAACTCCTGCCTATGTCTGTGCTACTTGTTTGTACATCATGTATGTATATGTCTGTATGTACAGATAATTTGCACCTAATGAATAATAAACAAGAGATCGGTAGCGGTGGCCTGGTTGTTACATACGTTGTATGTATATAGTTATGTAATTAACAAAATTAACAACGAAGACATTTCTAGTCCTAGTAAGTAAACAAGCGCCAAATAGTGCTGTCAGGAACATAAAGATGGTTATTATCTTTCGATATACAACAACATGTGTGGGATTCTGTTAATTAAAGTAATCACAGTATAAACGGTACGTGATTAAAAAGTAGGCGCTTGGTTCGAAAGTCACAAAGAAACGAGCAGTTTACAACACTGAGCGGTGGCAGCGGCTCGGTGGAGGCTACTCAATTAGCATACCGGGAGGCGCGGGACTAAACACCGTGCCATGCAATATTCATCGACAAACTTCAAGATTGAGATATAAAGTCAATGTCAAACTTTAGGGCTACCAGCATTTTGTGTAATTCCTAGTGACAGCAGCAACAACCCACACCGTACACGGCGGCGTCGAGTCAGTACACTCAAACTCATGATTACCGAGGTCATATTTTGAGCAGCAATTTACCATATTAAACTCCGCAAATTGTTTACGAAACATTAATTTATTGCCAGCCCTAAGTCCGGTCGAAGCCAGGGCTGCCCTAAATCACAGCCGAACGGTCTTTGTCTAAATGGTTTCGTTTCGGAGGTAAGTCAGGAGCCTGCTAGTGTTGCGAGAGGTAAGGTCAGGACGATATTAAGAAATTGTATCTGAAATATGTTCTGTTTGATGCCACCAGTGTATTAAGACCCGTGGTAACTACCGCCGTTACTCGTGGTGCAAGTCCGAATATAATTTGGTGTATATGTCGTATATTAGTAGACGGCTTTATTCAGGTGTTGAATCATTCATTATATTTGCCTCTGTCTAACAGTTGTCCTATTTTTATTTTAACGTTTTTATACCTATTAGGTGAGGTGCATGCCTTATATCGCGTTGTATCTGTCACCCACTACTTAGGAGACTCCTATAAGTGCTATGTGTTCTAAGGTGTCGGCTCTATATTCTGATAGTAGTAAGCTACTCGTGCGTGCTTCTAGTCTGAATAATATTCAATAGTAATTACAATCAGTTAATTATAGCTTTGTGTAGTAGACACGCTTTGTGATGTTAGCGCTTACATTTACGTTTCAGAACTAATACAAGATACATTTCAGTATTGAACTCCCCTATGTAGTGTAGTATGTTTTTTGAGAATATGTAAATAATAAAGCGAAAGGCAATATTCAGAGGTTGGAAGTACGTCAGAGCCGACATTATGAACCCCTAAGTTTGGTTGGGAGCTGGAAAACTTAAATAGGACGTGACAGGTGGGCACGGCAGTGACGCGCCGAGATGTCGTGTGACGTCATCACCTGCTCGACACCACCTCGCAAATCTAATTGTACAAGCATCTGATACCACCGCGACAGGTTGACGGTGCCTTCATATTTTTGCTATTACATAATAATAGTTGGTTTTACTGCCTCGTTGGCTGAGTGGT